CATCTTTATCAGCACTGTGCTGCTTTGGATTAACATGGGTTTGTGCTGAAATACAAAGACAAGGTAATGATTATTTAGATATGCCACTGTCACTATCTCTTTTCAAAACACAATCTAACGCCTACAAGTTTAATGGGAAGGAAGGGCCACTCTCGGAGATGAACCACCATTTAACTCGCCAAAAAACTAATTTCTGTGTGAAGAAATGCCTGCTGGTATTAAGTGTTAATAAAAAGCATTGTTAATTTAAGGGATACCAGCCAGTACATACAGATCTGGATGATGATTTGTTTGCAGAGTGCTAGTCTCCACTTCGCAAACTCATTTCACCTTTCTTTCCCCTTAAATTTGACTAGCTTTGCTGCTGAATGTCTATTGAAGCAGTATTTCTAATAAATGCGGTAACAAGCATTTGTTCACAATACAGGTTTAACAGAAGGACTTTGCAGAACGCAAGCTCCCAGAAATGTTCCTCAGTAAAATAACAAGGCATGACAAATCGGCTTTTGCCAAACCGCAGCAGTCACTTCACCAGTCAGTTCAATTACTTACAGTACCAAAAACCCCATGGCTGGCTAGGATGAAAGCCTTCTTCAAAGAGAAGGTATTCTCCATCAGTAAACAGATCATTACTCATTAAATATACTGCTTAGGAACATCTACAACAAAGCAGACTGTTTACTGCAGATTTCTGTGGCATTCAGTCTATGCAAAACTCCTCTGCTTACAGCTGTACTTTATAAAAAAAATGCTGAAGCGAAGCAAAAGAAAGCAAGACTGGTTGGCTCCAGCTTAAGTTGAAATGTACTTTTTTTTTAAAAAAAAAGCAAAAGAAATATGCATTTAGAAGGAAATAGAAGCAAGCAACCATTCGAATCAGTTCAGCACATAACACTATTTGTATTCAAAGACTCTATCTTGTATATCTTGGCATAATATAAACAGTACACTGAAAGATGTCTTCAACAGAAAAAGAAGTCTGCTTTTATCTAATCTCCCAAAGTTAAGAGTTATATAATCTTGAAATGATGACCTGTAAGATACTTTATTATAGGGGAAAAACTACAAGAGGGTTTCATATTCGTGGTTAGTTATGTGCAAGGTTTTCCATCAGGAGGTACAAGTCAATACTGATAGGTATGTCACTCAAAAGTATCCCAGCCCTTTAGCCAAATTTCTTCCTTTGTGACTGACTGTTCTTATTTCACTAACTGCACTGAGAAACAGTTATTTCAGATTTTTGGAGGACCAGCTGAACCCAGTGAGGAAGATGGGAACAGGCAATGACCACGCCGCTTTCAACGTGGATTCTTTGCTTCACTATTCACTACTCTGATGCAATCTATCATTTGGCAACATTACCCTATAAGGCAACGGAAAAGCCCTTTATTAAATGTATCCAAGAAAACAGCTGTATTCAAAGCATGCTCCTACTCCCACCAACCCACTTGTACAGTAGCATCCTTTTTCAAATAGCATTACACTAGTAGCAAGCAAATTTAGTTTGAGATATATGGGCAGTTTGTGTATTTTAAAGTTGCAAGGAATGCAATTGAACACAGTTATGTTCAATTTAAATATTTATGATAAAACATAGGGTGTATTGTACAGCAAGCACAATACACACATAAGCACACGGACAGCTTCCCAATTACTTTTCTTGATGTTAAAGTTTAATGCCGAGCTGTTTCAAAAATAAATTTATAGTGTGTTGCATTGTCTGGCATTAAAAATCATCTACTTTTTTCTGTCATTTTGTCTGTACTCGTGGACTGGTAACTCATTTTCTAAATGTCCACCCAGAATTTTGGGTATAATATAGAGGTCCTACTAGGTTCAAGAAGCTCCACAATGACACTGTGGACAATATTATCTACATCTTCTTATCAGCTGCCTGTCACCACGCCAGCATCTCACAGCAGACATTCCCGGTGACGCTGTCAGCATCGGGAAATATCAAGACCAGGAAGTATTGAAAGCTGGGTGGGGGGAGGGAAGCAGGACTTGTGAAGTCTCGCAGCAGAAAAAAAAAATAAATACCACCTTATCAAGCCCATATCAGTTTCTCAGTAGGGTCTGTTGAGCAGGAAGTTCAAATTGACACTTTTATTTTTTAAAGAAAAAAAAAATCTGGGGGGCGGGAAAGAGGAAGGAGAAGTGCTGGCGCTGCTGGAAAAGTGATAGAGAAACCAGGGCACTTCAGCTGGAGGAACAGCTCCTGCTGTCACAAGGTTAAACATCAGGGTGGGGATGTACGTGCCTTATGCACCAGAGCAAGTCCGCGAGTGACAGAAAGGAAGCTCACACCGAGACTGTAACTTTCGTTGTGCAACAGGCCCGTGTCCCCACTTGACAAACTAAAGATAATTGTTTTTTCCTTCCCTTCAAAGTTCCTAGTAAAGCGTCCCCTCCCACTAATTTCCATGTGTAGACAGAAGTTGCAATGTTTAAAGATTATTTTTCAAATCTAACCGTGACAGCTCTCTTCAGCCTGCAAGCTATCTTTGGTCCATAAATCCCCTCTTGGCTTTTTCCCCTATTACCTGAGCGCAAGGTAATCTGGTGAACACCAGAGAGATCAAAACATAAACAAGTGTGTCAGCACCGTGTAAAATAAGAGAAGGGGCCAAGGAGAGGTTCTTATGTTTTATACTGAACATGGATTTAAACCAGGGCTGAAACTGATTGAGAGGTTTACAGCCTTTCTTGTTGGTCTTAAAGGAGCCATACTTCAAAGCTAAAGAGATATACTTCTTATGGTTTTTTTTTTTTTTTTAGCTTGTGATTTTAGACTTAAGTTCTTAACAATCACAATGTCTCCCTCTCGCTCTTGAAATGCATTTCTCCCTCCCACCCCCATATACATGCATATACACTAAATATAGGCACATACTCATCCAAGATCTGTCTAGTTTCTGTGGTCACAGAGACACAGAAAAAAAGAGGTTCATGACAAAACAAGAACAGTGCAGCTGCATTTGTAAGTTACCGATCGGGGTGGAGGGGGTGGGGGTGGGGGGGGTTAAAAAAAACCCAGACGTGCCTCTTTAGGAGCCTGATCCACTTCTCACCGAGGTCAACAGATTATTTGCTCAGATCTGAGATTAGTGAGTGCGTGCAAGAGGAAAAGGGACAAAACTCCTGTTACTTTTAAGTATTAATAAAACTTGAGCGGAGGAGCTGCCTGAAGTCACTCCAATGTGGGTGTTCCAGCTACAGACTGCTGCATAGCCCTAGGCTTTGCTCTCATTTCTCGGGCTCCAAGCTGTAGCCTGAGAAAGGCTTCATAAAAATAATTATCTGTTTTTTCTAAAAACTTGAAAAACGGTTGTAGGCAGACAGTAATTTCAATAGTAATTTCAGGAGTGAGATGGTACTCAACACTTCGAGTGGTGGAACTTAAATATGCCGATTCACATTTTCGATCGAAATGAAGCACCTCTTTTGCTAGTAGAAAGAGAACCTCGAAGTTGTGAAGCAGGCAAAACAAAGAGTGTTCCCACTCAAAATGAGAACGGAGACCAACATTTAGAAGTATATAATTTGATCATCTGTTTTCTAAATGTGTCCAAGGCAGAGTGACATGCCTTTGAAAATATTTTGCTTAGAAAAGGTCTTTAAGGGAGCCTTCAAATAATCCTCAGTATTAAGTCAACTTTAGCCCCCAAATTCTGGTTTTGTGAAGACAACCTTTCATATAATTTCAAAATCATTCTCCTTTTGAAGATTCCAGGAGGCACTTTTTTAAGCAAGTGCAGATGTTTCCTCTCAACCCAAACAGAAAAGCTTCAAAACCAGAAAGTGAAACTGCCCATAAACAAAAGGGAAAGCGAGCGGCAGGGCTTAGCTAACGGCCAGCGTGTCAGGGCCAGCAGGAAGAAGAAAAGAACAAATTACATTTAAGAAACAGTATTAAAAAGTTAATCTTCATAGAATCCAAAAGATTTTAAATAACAGCTCGTTAAACCTGTTAATGAAACAAAAAGATTGCCAAATGTTTTGTAAATATGCAAACTGTCTTCCCTCCAACTCAAAACTTTTTTTCTAAAGCTTGACCAAAAGATGTCACCTGCCCGTACTTGACTGAGGAGACAAACACGGACAGGAGCAGCAGGAAGTTGCATCATATGATTGCAATCATTATTATCAAATAGTCATGTCCTGAGTCAACGCAATTGTTTGGGGGTTTTTAAATTTTTTTAAAAAAAGAAAACTGTCACCCTCTCCACCCTCCATCCCAAAATAATCCTCCTACAATGAGGTAGGAAAGAAATGCTAAACTATGTGGGACACTCGAAGTAAATTTCCTCGGTCTGTTTGCTAGTTCAAAAATAAAATACGACAGATTAAAAGCCAACCTGAGGGCCCAGCTGAATTAAGTTAAGCACATTTAACAAATAACCGAAAATTTATTTTTTGGCCAGCAGAACACAGAAATCTTGTGCCATCACACTTAAAGCCATTTACTGGACAACGGCACCATCTGAAGGTGACGTGTCTCAAATCTTGATAGAAAACAACATCAGGGACCTCAAAACAGGCAGGAAGGAGAAGGGGATCATTTGAAATGAGGCTGACTTTCCACTGCTGCGATAATGTGGAGTCTTGCCTCTGCCACTATTGTGCAACTCCTTGCAGGCACTTCAACATCCAGTTGAAGTTACGTAGCTCCACTCAGAGCTAATCATGGCCGTGAAGGTAGGTGTGTGCTTCAGCGTCTGAAGGACTGGGTCAAAGGCCCCAATTCAAGAAAACACAGAGGACAGGGTTAAACCCATAACTAAGTGCATGCCTAATTGCTGTCTTTAATCTGGATGCTTTCCTTCTACGGCACAAATGAACTAACGCTGGAGAAGTTACCTTTAATTTGAAAGTTGGCTGTTACAGAGGCAAGTAGATGTTATATATGGATGTGTAAAAATATTTATGCTCTAAAGTGGTGGCTCTGTCATTTTTGAGGCCACTAATTACAGGAAATAAAGCCAGAGAAATTCTCTGATACATTTTTCCCCAGAGGCCTATCCTCCTCGGGTGCTCAAAAAGGAACTGAGGTGCTGAACTTCAAGACCGTGATCCCCAAACCCCTGAGGCACCTAAAGCAGCTGCCTATACTTGAAGTTGGCAAGACCGAGGCCACACTGGAAGCTCTCCGTAGGTGTGTGTCCCAGGTGGCCTCTCCTGTGCTGGGCCAGGCAACCAGCCAAGGCACAGCTATTCCAAGGCCTCCCGTGGACACCGGCATGCTCTGCACACCCAAGACATGGTAGAGGGAGGGAGCTGGGCACAACACCCCACAGCTCCAGGCTGGCTGCGCTGCTGCCTCACACTGTCACCGGCGCGTGTCCCAGTGGGAGGAAGCCCTGACTTGCCTGTAGTGGGACCTAGACCCCGACTTTGCTTCCATCTTCCTCAGAGGGAGCCAAAACCAGCAGCTGGGAGAGGCAACAATGCTCGCCTGCTCCTCTGAGGCAAGCTGTGCCACTTTAAACACTGAATTGTTAGCAACCAGTTTGGCCGGAGAGGCCTTCCCAACTTTCTTGCAGGTGGAGGAAGTAACCAATTGGGGGGGGGAGGGTTGCCCCAACCAAGACTGTGTTAAGATGTTTTGATGGGGCAAAGCCCCATGTCTGCAGCAGGCACAGGACGCTAGCTATCTGGGGGCAAGCCATCTGCACTTCATTTGTGGATGAACGCAGTGTGAGGGCACCTTGGCCAGACCTGTGCTAGAAAGAGAGGCTGGAGAGGCAGCAGGATGCTCGCTTATTTTAGATTTAACTAGAAGAAGTGGTCTGAGAGGAAGGGGAAGAAGAAAACTGAACGGCGCTGACATTCACTTTAAATGTATCTGGTTCCAGTACTAACGTTGGAAAAACCATCCCTGCTCACGCTGTTGCTACAGGACCTTCAGCAAATAAGGATCTTTGGGAGACCTCTTGATTTTTTTTCTGTACTTTTCAAAAAAGGGCACTGAAACTTTAGAAATCCCCAATCCTTATGGTACCTGTAGGGTTTCTGGCCCAACTGCAGGCCTTAAGCCTGAATGTGTTTGTCACAAAGACAAGTGGAAAAGATAAAAAAAGTGAGAACTTTTTCTCATTTTTCTGAACTGCTATTTTCTTTAGGTAGAAGGGGCTAACATAAACTTTCTAAATGGTTTAACCGGAATTATCTTTAAAAAGAAGAAGGGTTATTTTGATGTCAGCATCTGGAAAGATTGCTCTTTTGAATGTTAAGGCTGAACTACACAATTGTTGCTTAAGATTCTGTCTCTTTAAATCCACTTATTTAGCCTAGTTTTACTAAAATGGATTATTCTGCACATGTCCAGACACCCCTAGTTTTGACCCGAGCAAGAGTAACCAGGTAATTACTTGACACTTTACAAATACATTCCTTGCTGCTTCTGCCAGGCAACCTAAGGTGCCAGCAGATGCAGGAAACTGAGGCTGCATTTGTGTATCCTCCTAGCAAGGAGCCAAATGTGTCTGGCTGAATCTTTGCAAACTCCTCACCCACAGGAACGCTTACTGCTGCTGTCTCTTCCTACCTGCAGGTCCCACTGAAAAGCCAACAGTTCATCATATCAGGAAATAAAACTGCACAGTGAGTGGTGAAATGACATATGTGCAAAGACGACAGAATCAGTGAGAGATTTTTTGAATAGGGAATATAGCAGCATAGGACATCCCCTCCCTCTCTTCCCTCTGCCATTAAGACAAAGACAATTTTCTTTCGTAATTCGTAGGAAAAGACCAAAAACTGGTGAAAGGACAACATCCATGGAGGACAGATGTATTTTTGATTAATCTGAATGTGTGATATCATTTTCATGATGCGGGGTTATATTTTAGCTCCAACGATCACCAAAGTAACACATATTTTATAACCCATTATTTGTTGCCAAATAACAGCAAATAGTTCTTTTTATTAAAAAAAAAAACAAAAACCTGCTTGCAATTTTTCTTTCAAATTTCAGTGTAGGTGCTGGCAGAAGGACAAAAGAATGCTCTGCTCTATCTCAGATCAGCTAGCAGGAGGGGAGGCAGCCTAAGAGTCGAACGAGAAGTCAGCAAGGATCTCTCCTTCTCTTCAAGGGGCTCTGGATGAGGTGCTAGGCAGTGATTAAGCTATGAGTAAAGCGCTGAGGCTGGAAATGGTCAGAAACCACAGAGGAACATAGAGATAAACTCCTGGAAATATCTCTTCCCCCTGCTACCAGTGCTATTATTTTTGAACAGAAAATGAAAGCCGCGATACACAGCCAAGAAATGGGGACAAAATACACTGAGCTTAAAAAAAAAGTAACCAGTCGAGAAGACCACAGGAGGTTTGCTCCCGTAAGATAAGTAAGCGTAGATGCAAGCTTAAATAGCATTATGTAGTCAACACATATTTTGTCAGACACCTAGACAGTAGTCATGGCATATCACTACTTGTAGAGTAAGGACAGCCCTTTGGGAGCATGACTGGACAGCCTTCAGTATACGCTATCAAAGTAGACTTTTGCGTAATGCATTAAGAGATCTAGACTTGGAAAGCCTGAAAGTGAACGAACATCCATGGTTCTGAAGGCAGATGATATATCCAGGTTGTTTGTCCAGAATTTCAACAGCTAAGACTCAGATTGTAAACCAGTAACTGTTCAGATTTTTTATAATCTGTTTACATTTGAACGGGCACAGGGAACTCATTCTGTTGTGTTGGGTTTTTTAATTCCCCTTTTCCACTCTGAGCTACCTACTGTGACACAACAGATGATGCAGCTGTGTAATTATACAACTTATTATTAGATCATATAGGCAGAAGAGACATTACTAGCATTCCTTGTTTATACTGTAATCCACTTACTGAGGTTCATCATTGTCAGCTCTCTGGAGGAGGGATAGTGCAGCCTTTCTGCAAAGTCTCTGCAATACCACACAAGCAGCTCTTGGTTGGCAGGGATGGGCTTGATGGTGTAGAAGTAGATGTTCATTCCATTCTGACAAGCAGCCAAGTTCTGTTCCTGAACGGAGTAGCCAGGGTTTACATAACGCATCCAGTTGCTCTTGTCCTCGTTAAATCCGTCAATGAAGTGGTGAAGCTCACCACTTGAATAGATCTGGAATAGAGAGGAAGTGCCTATGAATATATATATGTACAATAAGGAACACGTGTGCACAGAGTCCAGAGAGGAAAAACGATAAGCTTTTTTTTTTTTAAACGAGAAGATACCACTGAAATAAGAATTCAAGCCGAGTCCCCCTCTTTCCAACTATGATATCCTCTGTGTTAAGAAAAAAGATGCTTATTCAAAGGTAAGTCCGCAGTCACCTTTTCCACTTCTGCTTAGCCTCTGTAGCCCTGCTAGTATGGATAAATCATACCCAAAATCTAAAATGCAGAGTACTCTCCCTGCGTGAACAGTCTACCTTAGAGTCCTTTTCCTGGTGCTATGATCAACAAGTGTGTAATGCTAATGACTGTAGGTCTGAGTGCATGCTTGCATTAATGCTTTGAGTCACCTGTGTTTAAGACTGACTGGCTGTGCTACGTCACAGTCTTTCTCGCCTTTTTCTATGGCCTCTGTACTTGCAGTTTCCTACCACCTCCGCCCAAAGGTTTAAACTATGCAAACATCCTCCACCCCCCAGAGTCCTAAAGCAACACTTGCTCATAGTTGGACTGTAGCCCTTTTGTAGAAAGGCTGGGCGAGGCAAAGATGAACTTCACCTGCCATAACTTAACGAAGACCTGGAGAGGGGCCAACCGATGAGAAGTCACTTTTCCTATCAAGGGACATGTTCTAGCTTGTCTGCAGAAGGGAAAGAAAACACGAATCTAAAAACTGCTCAGCGGCTTCGGGGGAAAGAAGTCCCAATCACTGACAGAAGCTACTGTTTCTTAAAGTGGTAAGAATAAGACAATTATTTAAAAAAAAAAAAATAAGAAAAATCCAGGAGGTATGTTCATTAAAGACACATCCCTTACTCTTGGGGAGAATTAGCTCTGTGCTGGATGAAATGGGGTTCCTATGTTTTGCAAGACAGATGACCAGGCAAAAGCCAGTCCTTGAAGCGGGAGCAGCTTGCACCAACGGCGCACTTTGCTGAGCAGGAAATGCCTTTCCAAAGGGGAGACAGCTTGTCTCAGGGGGAAAACACTCCATGGCGTGTTCCTGCCTTTGTGTTCACACCACTCTCTTGCACCTACCTGGCCAGGCAGCATGCCCCACGAACGCCTGCTGGCTGGCCGGGACCTCTCCTCTTCTGCCGGAGAGAGCCACTGGCGGAGAGGGGCAAGGCAGCCTGGCCCTTTAACGTGGGCAGTAAACACCAGAATCACTTTCTTTAAGAGTAACTTCCTGTAAACTGAGAAGGGGGAAATACATGTGGCCTCATCAAAGCAGCTTGCGAGAGATTCTGCGGTGTGTTTGTTATGAGAAAATGGAAGGGAGCCGTGTGAGTTGTGCTGCATCAAGAGGAGCCTTCGGGTTTCTCTGTTCACCTCGGCTTGCAAACTTCCAGGAACACAGGGCTCCGGCACTCGACGCCCGCTGCTGCTTCCCAAATCAGCCCTTTACGGCTCCCGTGGCAGGGCCACGGATGCTGCTGGACACTGTGCTCCGGCTGCGGGGTGAAGACGCCCCACCGGGCTCCCACCTATTCTGGGGAAGGCGAGACCAGATGTGCTGAGTCACGGAGCAGTTCCCAGAAATGACGTCGGCCCCGGGCGGCCCTGCTCCCCTCGTGTGGGCAAGGCGCAGGCAGCGTCCCCCCGTGCGCGCAGCAGATGTTCCCGCTCCTGCCAGCAAGCCCAGGATGCCTTTAATAACATGTGGGAAGTTATCTCCCACAATTTCCTTTGCATATGCAAGCCTGTTTCAGACCCCGAGGACGGAATTCATTTTCAGTGCAGCAGCGTGTCTTGAACGAATCAAGAGATTATAACAGGGAATTTAACGATGCTTAGATGGCTCCTAGGATATTATTTCCGAGGATCCCTCTGCATTAAGGCTTAAAATCACATCATGAGAATGATGTCATCTTTCTCACTGCAATATATGAATGAAGTCCTGCAAGATGGTTAGCAGCCCCTTTTCCCAATGTTTACCATCTTATTAGCAACTGGCAGGGCTAGGGCCGGCATACCAGTCTACTCCTATGCTGAATGCAATCTCCCGAAAAAGTTGGCTATAACGAACATTTTGTAGCCTTATGAATGTGAAAAGTCAGCTGCTTTGTAAAAACACTCATGCAAATAACTGCCTGTGCAATGCTGTATTACATTGCACAAATACAATCTGAGAAAACCAAAATGATGCAATTAGGTAGGAAGAAAGGGGTGTGGGGAACGTTGGTGCTTGCCCTGGGTTTCACCTGGATAACAGGTCAGGATATTGCTAAGGCAAGCAGGTACCTGGGCACAGAGGCTTGGATATACTCCCAAATCCACCGATTTAGACACAACCTAAATGGCTAAAAGGCAGCAAAACAAATCCATGGAAGGAGATGGGGCTGAAGGAATGTTCTCTAATAATTAGTAATGGGTCTGTAAAGGAGGATTATGTCAACTGATAAAATGGAAGCATATTCCCCAGCACAGACTTCCTGATCCAAAAGAAATTGGCTGGTGCTCTCTTCCAGCTTATACTATGGAGTACAAATTAGGCATCACCTCTAACGTTTGTCTGCCATTAGTGGATTTTTCTCTTCAGTAAGACCTGTGGGATGCTCTTCTAACACTTTCTGAAGCAGACTAGAAAAGCTTATGACTTGAATGATATACGCTGAAGACCACCACCACCACTGTGTTATAGCAGTTATATTCAAAATCCAGGGAAAAATGTCACAAAATCTATCATATTCCAGAGTAAAAGATTATGCACTACTTTCACAGCTTCTTCACAGCTGGAAAAATGAAGGATACATGGTATATGCATAAACAAGAATGACGTTCCATGGTGAAGAAATGCAAAATAACCTGCCCCTACAGCAAGCAGCTCTATTTCTTTACACAATCAAGCACCGATCCACTTCGGAAGACAGAGCTGGGAAGGGCCGTTCATCTCCCCTGCTCTCTCCACCCACACAGTCCCTATATCCAAGACAGCCAGGCTTTTCCTCGGCTTAGTTCACCCCACTGGCTCTGTTCATGCCTGGCAGTGTACAGAAGTTGCCCCCTGCACTCACGCAGGTCTGAAGCAGGAAGTGACCCAGCTTCTCAGCTGTACTCATTTAGTGATCTGCTTACTGCAACAACATGGTGCTGTTTTTTTCCTGCTTACCCGCCAAAAGTATTTTCTGTTCGCATTCTTGGGAACCGTATCGCTGGTATAGATCTCTCCTACCAGGGGTCCAAAGCGCGTTCCTTTTGGGATGTACTCTTTGCTTATAACTCCAGTGACCTACAAGAAGAGCAGCACAGGATCAGTCCATCGCCAGTAGAAATCAAAAAGTCTTCCTTCCTCTCCCCTGTCCCCCGAACTTAACAAGGTAAAGCAACCGATGCAAGAAATTTTTAGTGACAGATCAACAAAACAAAATAAATTAACAATCATGTTAGATATAGTATGACCAGCTTTGTTAGATGCTAGCATCTTACCGAGACATATGGAAGCCAAAGATGAACACTGCCTGAAAAATGTGTTTTGTGGAAATACATTTACAAGAAGAAACAGTAAGCGAAATGTACAGAGACTGTCAAATATCTTCAGAAGTTATTTCTCCTATCAAAGGCAACCCCCAAAAGTCTAGTTCCAGCAAACAAAACTATTCAATAGCCATCAATCACTTCACTGCTACAGAGCTCGCTTTTCTAATAAGTTAGGAACTGGAATGACTACTCCTCCAGATCAAAATGAAACCTCACCCCCACCCCCACCTTCTTCACTCTATACCCATCCTGATAGCTAAAAGGAGAACAACAACAACAAAAAAAAGACGACCTACAATTCTCTCACCAGCATACAGTGGCACACAGAACAGCATATGAAATGGCTTTGGGACATGTACTCACAGATCACCTTCTTTTATAAAAAGGAGGCAGCAGTTCCGGTAACATGTCAAGTGGGTTTGGTCAAAAAGGCGTAAGGGTTTTGATGAAAATGCTCCACTATGCTAGGTCTAAGAAATGTACTCTAGTTATTCAGCTTCCTTCTTGACAGTAATTATACCAAAAAAAGTCACTGACCACAAATCAGGAAGCAATTCATCATTATTCAGAAGAACGTGCCTTGGAGTAACCCTTTGCAAAACACTGCTGAGTTATTGGTTTTGTCTCTGTCTGTTCCTCACCATTCTTCTTAACTTTAATGTATCCAAACAATGTTAGAAAACCAACAATTTTGTGAACCAAAAACCCCAAGCCTTTGCAAGACTGATCCTGCTGCTCAGATAGTGGAGAAAAAGGAAGGTGAAAAGCCCATTAATTTGGTATTATAACCAAACTTTCATGGCAAAATGTATCCCCTTCACACATCTTGCCACTTTCAGAACAAGACAGGAACAGAAGTGGCTAATGAACACCGAGAGTTGGGATTAATGCTGTCTGTACCCTGCAAGGAATCAACGTTCCTACCAAAGCAGCTTAACACTCATTAAACCCTGCAGATAGCTCACTTCAGTGAGCATTTCATTTTCTGTGTAACAGTCCTTCACAGCAAAGGACAGTAAAAAACCTGGACTGTAGACAGCACTTCACAAATTACCTAAGCCTTGTGAATTTTTCATGCTGCATTTTCTCCTGTTGTATCACCCTTGGTGTGAGACAGGGAGAAAGACACACGGATAAATGCCTGCCTGTGTATTGGTCAAGATTAAAAATCCTGGTAAACAACTAACGCCTAGCATAATTTCACGTTAAATGTCAAAATAAAGGGGACAAATAACAGCCATGGAATCAAGGAGGTAATCCACCCGGAAACAGATTGCCAGGTGTACATGGTGGCTGTTTGCGCTTGTCTGTGTTTCAACATGTGTTTCAGCACACTACAAAAAAATTAAACGTCAACAGTAGAGGTAGTTAAATGCTCCATTGATCTGTGCATCTGGACTGAAGAGAGAGAAAAGGGACTTCCAGAAATTTTCCTACACCTACCACAAGCTGAAACAAGCTCAGTGGCTCAGTTTTATTTTTGTCTTGCTTATACATTTCTCATAGAGAGCTGAAAAAGGCAGATGTTCTTCTCATCTTCCCCATATATCTTCATTTACATCCATCTGCCCTCTCAAGAGAAGTTCACAACCAAGCTACAGCACACCCTACCAGTTTTACTGCATGGTAGCTTGAGTTCTTTCATGGTTTTAAAATATCTTGGCCTTAATTAAAACAGCTTTAATGAAATTCTCAGAATCTCTAGAAATCACTCCTCGAACTAGTCAACTTGAAACACTCACTGAACTTGTGTCTCTGACACAGCAGATAGTTTTTAATATCCACCTTACATGCAGTGTTTGCTTCTCCCCTGGTGCAGCTGAACACAAAGACTATTTCTCACCCTGTGCCCATCAGGTTATTTTGGCAGAGGATGTTCTGCACATCCGTGTATGCTGACACTGATGTTTGGCTAAACCAGACTAAAGCTGTCCAGATGACTTTTAACCAAGGGTGGCTTTCTGGCCAGCAATTCTTGGCCTCTGTTGTGCCCCCACAAGCTCAGCTGTTGTGGTCAAGGAGGGGTACCCTCCAGGAGAGGGGTGCCAGCAGCACCACGACAGGCCCGCTCCAGGCTGTCAGCAGCTCCCCTGCCGCAGCCAAAAGGGGCTCCCTGCCCTGCTGCAGCTTAGGGGGGGCAGCTTGACAAAAGGCCACGAAGTACAGAGGTGCCGAGGGCTTGTAGGCAAAACAGCGAAGGAACTCCACGTCCAGAGCTGAGGGGAAGCCGTCTCCCGGATGCCGAAAAGCTGTAGTAGAGAGGCATTTCAGACTTGTGTCCACCAGGTGTCCTTCAGCACATTGCTGCCTCTCGGCGATGAGATCTTCAGAAACAGCCTCGTGGCAGGGAACCACAGGGGAGCATGACCTGAGTTCGCTCCCCACAAATAAAAACCTACTGCCCTTGTGCAGCCTTCTGGGTCTGCACCATGCCGTGTGGGAGCAACGCGCTATTTTCAGAATAATTTCCTCCCTCCAGTCACTCGCCCCCTCTCCCTTCAAAGCTCCAAACTTTCAACACTCTTGCAAGCAGGCCGCTACCGCATTTTTCCTTTCAGCAAAACAGCATTTCTAGCACAAAGACGTTAGCCCGAAGCTGTAAGGCCGGTTTCCCGGTGCTACGGGCATCTGCAGCTCCTGCCGAGGCCGGGCTGAGCTAACCCGCTCTCCCCTCGCCCCGAGCCGGACGGGATGCGCCGAGCGGAGCCGGGCTGGCGAGCGGGGCCCAGCCGCGACCTGGAGGCGCTGCAGCGGCA